CTGCAGACAGCAGGCCTCTGCTGAACTCCCTGGTGCTTGTGGAGATATTTTAAATAGCTAGGGTTGATTCCTATTAATGCTGACAGAATGGAGCTCAGTGTCATACCCAGCTCCAGACCCAATGTTCTCTGTCTCCAAAGTGCTTTTCCAACACTGGGAACCACCCTCTGCTAATGTACAGCTGGTTTGATGTGTTTAGAAAAAATTAATTTCTGTAACTTTGCAGCCAGGCAGCGAGGAGCCAGTTCCCATAATTTCTTCACTGGGGCATTTCTGCCTGCACAAATGAGAGGCATGTCAGTGCAAAGCCTTGATGCTCCAGTTCAGCTGCCTTCCCAGCCGTGTCAAGGGACAGAAAACACCCAGCAAGCAATGGATCCCAACAAGGCTCACGACGACCACTCAAAGTAACTGTTTCTTCAAAGCTACTGGGAATTTGGTCTTCTGCTGGCTTACAGCATGCACATCTGTAATGCATCCCCAAAACACACAGCCAAACACCGTATCAGTAGAAAAGCAGCAACACAGAGCTTGTGTTAACATAGGGGAGAAGTTTTCCAAGGCAGGGTGGGGCGATTGCACCATGAGTCCCTCAGCTTTGAGGTGAAGGGCTGTGACAGTGGTGCTGAGCAAGGCCTTGGCCGACTGAGTCAGCTTTATCAGCTGGGGCTGTGCCAGAGGGAGCAAGTTATGGATGGCCTTGTCAGGATATCCCAGCACAGCCTGCTAGCATTAGGCAGCATCACAGCTGCTGGCCACTTTCCACAGGAGTTTTGAGAATGCTTTTGAAAAATTGTGCAGGGAGGTTGTATTAAACACACTGCCCAGATGACAGGAGTGTCTGCTCAGCACCAGCTAAATTTCTACTGTATTTTTAACTTGTTAATTACCCATTGCACTGTGTACCTGTGTTAGCTGTCAGGAGCTGTGTTATTTTTTTTTACTTTGTCTCTCAAGAAGGATTTCACCCCGGATGCTCTGCTGTCTCCCAAGGGATGTGAATTACATGAAGAGTGTGTATTTCAGGCTCTGCTCATGCTGAGCAAGTGGCTGATGGTGACCACACTCTGGGAGAGAAGGGAAGGTCTGACAAAGAGCAGGGAGCAGTGGATCCTCCCAGCTCAATGATGCTCCAGGATGCACACACAGGGTGTGCAGGAGACTCCATTCCTTCTCCTTCTGCATGATACCTGTCTTCTTCCTTCACACCTTCCTTCCACAGCCAATCCAAAATCAAGCCAAGAGGAGGAGGGAGAGGGTTCTGGCCAGCTCACAGTCAAAAGAGGGATTGGGATGCAGGGAAATATCCAGGCAGTTATAGGATGAACTTTGGTGTCTACTCACTTTGCCTTTCTTGAGGAAGTCTCTCTAAGACTATGAAAATAGTCTTGCTGTGTCTCAATTGTCTTTTTATCCAACAGAGTCTGTGATGCAACTCCTGGCTCACTGGTGTAAGACACAGAGCACCTAACTCTGACTTCCTGCTCACATGAATTCCCACTCAGAAATGACTATGCCAATTTAAGTACATTAATTTAGACACAGGTTCTTTCAGCCCACACAGTTTCTGTAGGTCCCTGGGGAGCAATGGTAAAGGGGAGCTCATTATTTCCTGCTCATTATTTCGTGGCTGACCTGTCAAAGTAGGAACAAAGGCTATATTTAGCAGGAGCTGTGACAGCAACTGATGCCATCTGGACCTCATTCTGCTTGTCCCAGAGATTCACAGGGGCTGTCACAAACTGCCTTCTCTTCATGGCCAGCAGATTTCCCTTTCAACTGAATCAAAATGATTCTGTCAAGATAAGGACAGTAACAATGGTATTACCTATCTGGATGGCTGAAAGCCTGTTGTTAATCTCCCTAATTCTGTGTTTCACTGTCAAGCTGCTGAGTCAGCCACTGGTCTGTATTTGTGTATATTTAATGCTTTTAGGGATAAAGACAAGATCCTCGGGTTTTGCAGAACACAATTCCATTCTTTTACTTTAAAATAAACATGGCACCCATCCTAAATACAGAAATATCCATTGTTTTCTGGTTGCGTTATAACAAAACTGTTGGAACTCTTAAATCTAATTTCTGAATTTTTTGCTAGTAACTTTGTTACTACCCAACTATATGTGGCAGACGCTGGTATCATGTTAGGTTTGTGTAATGAATAGTGAAATATATTGCTTACGTGTGTAGCCACAATATGTTAGCAGAATGTGAGGTTTTTTTTCAATTTGATGTGAGGTAACAAGAACTTGAGTATTATCCAGTGCTGCTTCCTTGGCTAGCCAAGACTCTTCGGTTCAAGTGTAATAACCATTTTACCACAGCCATGTGGAGTTAGTACAGCTACCTGGAGAGGGGAATAGATTTATTCTGAGCACCTACAAGAAGAAAAGTAATTATTAGTTCGATGTTGAGTATCAGCTGTGGAGGTGTTTAGGCTGGAAATGGAGGCACAGGAATGCAGGGTTAGAGAAGGCATGCAGCCCCTCAGCTTGCTCTAAAGGGTGAAGCATCACGTTGATCCTGGATCCGGCTGATCCTGGATCCGGGCTCGGCGTGCTCCCTCCTGCCCGCTGTGGGAATCGCAGCCGGGCCCGGGCCAGGGGCCGGGGGCGGGTCCTAGACGGAGGCAGCGCCAGTGTCCCGCCCCGGATATATGGGTCTGGCTGTTGGCACCGAGGAGAGGAGGTGCGTCTCGCGGGACGCACCGCCCGGCTGGGCTGGGCTGGGCTGGGCTGGGCTGGGCTGGGCTGGGCTCGGCTCGGCTCGGGGAGACGCTGAAGCACAACCGAGTTCGTATAGGTGATGCACAAAGTATGGAGCGGTGTTTTGTCCGGTGAGAAAAGTGGGTGCGCGGTCTGGCCAGTAGCCGGGGCCTGGAGGAGAACAACTTTAGCCTTCCTTAGGGAGGGATTGCAGCTGAAGCACTTGATGAGGACAAAACTCAGGGGTACCAGACGAACTAAGCATCAGCTCTAGGTGAGCATGTTTCCCAAAGATGCCAGGGGAACTGGGCAGGAGCGTAGGGCCAATGCTTCAACAGTGTTGCATTAGGAACCACATGGCTGCCTTGAGACAGCTCCTGTGAAAGAAACAGTGCCACACTGAGGCATGAAAAGTCACTTTGCACAGCCACATGGCTCTGAGTTTAACAATAAATTGGACAACACTGTCGGATACATCACGGGATTTTTGGGGTTGTCCTGTGGAGGGTCAGGAGTTGAACTCAATCACCGTTGTGGGTCCCTTCCAGGTCAGGGTATTCTATGATTACAAGGGAATTTTCCAACAGCCCAAGAATGGCCTTTGATTTCTCACAGCAAAATGATGCTTGAAAGGGCAGGTCCAGGCATGTGAGGCCCTGTTGGGAGCTGGGCAGCCGTGGCTGCTTTCCCAGCTGCTCTTGGCTCCCCTTGGTCAATGTGTGCAGCAGGGTGTAAAACCACAGCAGCAAAGCTGTGCCACAGGGTGTACCCTGCAAGAAAATACAAAAACTATTTCTGCCCAGGGTGAATCACTTCATTTTTGATGTCTCAAAATCATTACAGGGACAGCAAGTTTGGGAAAATACCAGGATTGGATCCACAGTTAATTAAAAATAGTTTCATCACTTGGAACCTGAAACTTTGCTAATTAGGGTCTTTCTCCTGAAAGGGCAGGGTTTACATTTAGGGGTTTACAATCTGTATAAGCTGAGGATTTTTGTCTGTAGGGCCAAAATTATTTACTTAGCTTTTTTTAGCTTTTGCCCAGGCTGCTCTCTTTAGTACAAAAAGTCCAGATATAGTCACCCTTTCCTCATGTCAGGAATCTTTCTTGGATAAATTTCCTCACACCCGTACATTCAATACAAGCCAGATTGAGCAGAGTGGAAATGAAGATTTATTTTATGGTCTTTTAATATGTTTCTTGAATTACAAGTGAGAAAATACAATTTAATTTTCTTCTCAATTTCCATCCAGGTCTACAGCAAGTAAAAAGTCAAGAGACATTTTTATGTTAAAGCAAATATTGTTATTAGCCTCTTGGTTGCATTACATATTTTCCAAACATACTATTATTCTGTATTAACCATGGAGCTTTAAATCTTCTTTAACCAGAATAACTCAGTTTGGTAATTGCTAAATAGAGCTGAAGTGAAAACATACATAATAATGTGCAGACTAGAACATAAAACCACACAATTATATCATTGCAATTATATCAGGAGTTATGAAAATGCCTATAAAGAGCACTGGAATCTGCTCAAATGTCAGAAATTGTTAAATGTATATACTCTTTACAGATGTGCAATTTCATTTCTTGCAATGGCAGTTTAAATCCATTCCCTGTATACTTTTTTTTTCTCTTCTTCTTGATTATTTTCTTCCAAGGGAAAAACACAGCCCATACTGATTTAAGCTCTTTGAGTTATTTAAACTTGCTTAGCAAATGTGGAGCTGAATATGCTTCCACACACACTATTTACTGTAAAACCAGTCATTGTGGGAGAATTCTCTGCCTCTGCACTTCCCCAGATCATAACAGAAACGAACTGACTTGTGTATCCTATCACAGACAGAGCAAAAAAAGCATATGCTCTGTAATAATGCCAGCAAATGAATGATGTGACTTTACCTATGGAGTTGTATAATGGGTATCTGCAGAAGATGTATTTTCCCTTCCAGTAGCTGTAGTGGAAGGAGTTCACTGCCTTATTTAATATCTCTACATTAATGTTCATGCTCAGGTATTCACTGTTTACTTATGCTGAGTATACAGTGCACACACTGTGCCTCTTCTTCTGCCTGAAAAGGAATAAAGATCTACTGTTCAAGTCAGACAAATATTTTTAAAATCAAGCAATGTGCCAGAAAGGATTTCAGGAACTCCGTAAGTTAACAATTCCACCACTGCATTTTTGTGTGCAGATGTTGCTGCTTAGAGGAAGGAGAAGGCCTCATGCTGCCAGGGTTGCCCTGATTGAGCATTGAAATAGAAATTCAGAAAAGATGCTTTGCAGGAGCAGCTCCAGATCAGGTAGGAGAGGAGGCACCTCTGGGAAGAAGACTGACTGTCCACTTCTGGCCTGGGTGGCTGTGCATGGACCATGAATGACTCAAAACACAAATGAAGGGGTATTATGTGAGAATGATGAGAAGCTAAAGGACTAAGTATTCTGCAGTTGGAGGAAAGATATGTTCGCTTTTCTTGGCTGGCTGCTGGCAGAACTGGAGGCCATATGTCTGTCAGAGTGGAACTTAGACCCCTGATTAAATTTAGGAAGGATACTGTCTGTCATCCTCCCTAGGTTTTCAATTCTAAGATCTGAGATTTCAGAATCTCAGCACAAAGCTAACGAGCCCTCTCCACAAGCATTTTTTGTCAGCTGGGTTTCCCTTCCAAGGTGTCTGTAAATTATGTTATGTGCAAAGATGGTATGTGAAAAGCCAGCACAGGCTGATGCTGAATGAGTAAGGAGACAGAGCTGAGAGTGCTGCAGCCAGTCAGCAGTGAAACCGTAGAACTTGCAAGTAGCTTTTGCCACAGCTGCTCTCTTTAGTACAAAAAACTCAGACTCAGTGACCCTTTCCTCATGTGAGGAATCTTTCTTGGATAAATATACCTCAGTTCCATATGGGAAACCCACACACATAGCAGGAGCCATGCCCAGTAGATGATTGCCACCTAGAGTGCAGTGACTGCAAATTACCATCTCTCCAGAGAGAAATATTTCATCCTGATCTGACTTCAGAGTGATTCAATATGTTTTTTTTTAAGGTCTGTTTTTTTCATCCACTAATTAGTAGCCTAATTTAAATAAAGGTTAAGATATTTGTGGGGTTTTTTTTCATGGGTTTGTAATGCCTTTTACCCATATTTCTTAACTATGTTTTTTTCTAAACCTAAAATAAATAATGTGACTGGCTGGCCTTTCCTATTTCTGGATTTGATTTATGCTGGAGTTTGCAAAGGAACGACTTACAGAGTCTTTCTATTGGCCGCTTAGCCTTGTACAGAATCTGTATTGAAATCCAGGGCATGCACGGAAAGGTCTGCCCAGTGCAGTGTGGGATGACCCACTTCTCTTCCACATTCCTTCTTGGACTTTATTATGCAAAAAATGTGCTTCTCCTCTACAAACCCCTATGTTAAATGTGTCACAAGCTTAAATCCCTTGCAGATTGCTTTCTGAGCTTCAGGCATAGTGATCTGTGGTTTCTTCAAAGTCTTAATTTCTTTACCCAGCAGTGAAAATCACTGCTCTGTGGAGAACACAGGGGTTGGGTGGGCAGTGCTCAGAGGTGCCAGCTTACCAGCCACCCAGGTGCATTCCCCTTCACTTACACCCTAGCTGTGGTGACACAGGGAGATGGGAATGTGTCTTTCTGCAGAAATCAGCATCTTCCTCAGGCTCCAACCATGTCTTAGTTGAAACAGGGAACACAGGGTGATTCATCATTCCTGCTAGCCAAGTTTACAAAAGAGTTTATTCATTTGCTGAGGTGGGAGCCAAGTTTTGATTAAGAACCATGAAATGTGGATATGTTTAAAAAATGTTTCAGCCTGGACAGTGCCTCCTTTGCATGCAAATAATGGAGGTCACAGTCCTCAGATCTGTCCACTCCAAATGCCCCCTGACAGATTTCAAAGGACAATATCAGCACATCATTTTATAAAAGCTGCCTCATGTCCTGCAAGCCCCTTGGATGCTTAGCAAGGACTGCAGTCTGCATCACTACATCCCCCAGTTCTTTTAGGCATTCCAAATTATCCCATGGATAATTTGGAAAATCTAATTAAAACATGGGCAATGTAATTTTAAATAAGAAGGGGAGAACGTGTGTCTTTTTCCCTCCCTGCAGTCAGACCCCTCAAATTCTGTCTGGGTACACTTGTACAGTTTTAAATAAGCCAATCATATAATTACCAGCTTTTTCTGTGTTTGCAGAAGTTTAAATGGCCTTGTGAATGTGCAGCTGGGCATGGCTCAGAGCGCCGCCAGATCAGGCTCCACCATACCATAATTATGTTGAATAGGAACATGAGCCATCATATTCCTCCCTGGGACAATCCTGTGAATCCAGCTTTAGTCTGCCAAACCTGGCACAGAGACAGCTGGAAGTACTGCTCTGTATGACAGACCTTTTCCATCTGGACACCATGTATTTATCTCACCTTAAGCCTCGTCTAGATTATCTGCAGCAGAATTTAAGGCATAAATCCCATCCTTTCACTTCTCTCTGTTGCACTTCAGTGTCTTCAAGGGGTGCAGCCTTGAATAACACTGAATTATTCATGACTGCTTGCAGCCTCCTAGTCTGCTCAGCTCATCTGCATCAGCACTGAGGTGGCTCAGGGCCTCACAGGACTGAGTTCCCAAAACATGCTATCAGCATAAAGCATTTTGCCCATTCCAGGAGAGTCCTGGCATGAGTCAGACTGCTCAGGAAACCATCAGAGCAGTAGTTTGTTTGCAGCCAGAGTCTCTGAGTTTTGTCAGAGGACAAAGCATGGTATAGTTAATACTTCAGTGTTTCACACACTGGGTTTGTTTAGCCTGTGCAGGGCAGCCCCATGCAGAAACACCTGAGTTGGCCTGAGCTGGCCTGACCTGGCTGCTGGACAGTTACCTGCAATCAAGACAGCAAATGCCCAAGTGGGGAGCAGTGGGAGCATGTAGAGAGGTGGGTTTTGTGGGTTGTGGAAGTGCAAGTAGCCTGATGTTTTTTTGCTGCTGCTGTGCACAGTGTGCTATTCCAAGAGGAAGTTGTACTCAGGGTCTGATTGTGGTGAGGTGTATGTGTCTGGCCATGTTGCCTTTTTCCAATGCTTGCATCTTAGTCCCACCTTCTCCTTGTGATGGAAACAGTTCTCTAACACTCAAAGGCTTTGATTCAGGATGGCTTCCAGACAAATGCTCAGGAATTTTGCTGTTTGGAGATGCTCTGTGATTTTGCTCTCAGCTGGGTGCCAGACAGTGCCAAGCCCACAGATGTATCTAGTGCAGCAGACTTGTATCTGTTCATATACCCTTCCCTCTCCTCAGAGGCCCCCTGGCTTCTGCCTGTCATCAACAATACAGTTTGTATTTCCTTTGGTACTCCAAATCCTCATCTTTTGAAATCCACCTGTGTACAGACTAAAGGAAGACTAATAATTAGATAGTACTTCAGCAGACAGCACTTCCACAGCATGGCACAATCTTTTATCTTTGGCTGATATAAAGACATTGCTCAGACTTTTGGCTGGATCTTTGAACAGAAGACTGGATGTTGGCATTGCTTGACTTTTGGCTTCCATCCTTGCTTTTCTAGGATCTGGTGTGATTATTTTTTCATTCATGAAAAGAAAAGGAAGTGCAACAGACACAGCTAATTTTGGAATTTGTTCCTGTACAAGGCCTTTTACACGAGTAAGTTTTAGCTTCAGTTTCAGGGAGAAACCTGAGCTATGCTGAGAAAAGAGTTATTATCCAGGCATACTCTTGCCTCTTCCGTTCTAATTCACTGCATTGTTTTATGGGAAATTCTGTACGGCATGACATGAGTACTCTTCAGTTAATTTTAATATTTCCTCTGCCTGAGTCTTGAACAAACCTTTGTAATATGAGAGACAGTGGGCGATCAAAAAATACTTGTGTACACTTTCAGCAGACAAGCTCTCTGCAAAGAGATTTTTACTTTTAAGGAATGCAAGGGCTTCAAACACCCACAGGATGCTTGATTCTTCTGGTTTTAAAGCAGATCTCCATGTCATAGCTCTCCGGGTTCAGTTGTTCCTCTCACATATTCTCAGTCCTCTTTCTGCCTGCATTTGTACAGGGGTTTTTTTTCCCTTTTGAAATACATTAATACTGCTACTGTCACCAGTGGGCTCAGCATTGTCCAGCAGCAGCAACATTGGCTTCAATCGGCCATGGGGGAAGCTTTCAGCAGCTTCTCACAGATGCCACACCTGTAGCCCCCACTACCAAAATGTTGCCACACAAACCCAACACACCTCTACAAACACATTTTTAATCCTTTCTATTAAAAGAGAAGGAAAGAAATCTATTTCTCCCTAATGTAGGACCAAGAGGTCTATCATAAAAATATGTTAAAAAAGAAGCATAAGAACTGAGTAAGGAATCCGAGTCTGAGTCATGTCATTGGGTCTGAAGACTAATGGTGTTTTTACAGTCTCTAAAATGTGCTAATGTCTTTAATGCCATCACAGACTCACAGCTTGCTTCTCTAATTGATAATGATGCAATCATTTTAAATTCACCCAAATAAATGTCAATGTACAAAGTGTACGTGCAACATATGGAACTTGTGGAAAACACTCTTTACTGTCTTGGTAAAATTTAAAAGGTTTAATAAAAAGACAATAGGAGACAAACATAAAGCAAAGGATTAAAACGGCCGGGTGCTTGGCATGCTGCCAAGAGCACACGGCTGCTTCGGAAACGGTCCTTTAAATACGTTTTACAATACATCAACTTGTTGCATATTCATAGTTCTTTATGCATAGTCAAACTTTTTCTGGGAGCTGTTTAGCATGGCCATTCCTTGGGTCCGTCTTTTTAGAGCATGCGTGTTTCTTGGCTTGTGGTTTTAATCCTTATCACCTTTTAATTTGGGTGGTGGTCCCGGCCTTTTGCAGCCAGTGAGTGTTGATAATTGTCGTGTCAGCTGCAGGGTTCCCATCACACGTTCACGGGCTGTTATCTTAACTAAGCGGGTAGTTTAAGCATACTATCTAAAAAAACTTATGTCTAACTTTTGCTATTAGGAGAGAAAGAAGAAAAGAAAAAACTGTATTCGTACAGAAAAGCTATTTCAACATTATACATATAGCATTTATCCCAATATTTGCAAAAAGCCAACAACATGTCATGTACTTAGAACTGTTAGTATGTTCTGGTGACAGGACATCTGGACCGTTTTCTAATTGTTTATGATATTAGCAGTTGCTGAAAGTGTCAGTGAAATTGCCCCCTTATGTTAGATGTTTATTTCCCTATTTTCTATGGATTCTTATGGATTGTGCTTTGATGAGTCATCTCCTGACACCTTGCTTTTTCAGTTATAGTTCACTGGGTCTCTCTTTAGAAAATGGACTTATGATGGAGTGAATTTGGAAAGCAAGAGGTAGCTTGTTCGTAGTGTCTTGCACGGTCTAATTAGGTTCGTGGTTCTATTTCATATTGGAAAGATGTTAATTTTGGGTAGAGGTGACTGTTAGGATGATTGGCAATGATGATGGTCACTCAGAATTAGCGTGAATACTGGTTTCTGGAGAGGAAACACAGTAAATTAGAAGTTGTGGTGAGCTGGGGAATGAATTTCTCTTTGTTTCAGCTCTACCCGTGCCTCGTGTCAGGTCCGTCCTCTCCCAAGGCTGTGCCTTGGTCCCGGGAGAACCAGTGGGGCTCCGGCTGCTCCTACCCTCGGCGGAGCCCAGGCCAGTGTGAACTCATCACTCTGTTCATATAGCCCTGCCACGTTCCCCCACTGAGATGGTTTTCCTTAATTTCCATCCTTTTCCTTCGTCACTGCCCGCCACTTGCCTAGGGCTCACCCGGAGCTGCTGAGAGCTGGCTCGGCGGTACTGTGAGCAGCGCTTGAGCTGCCGCCGGCCTGCAGGGAGCACGTCCAGAGCCAGGCGGGCAGTTCCAGGGACGGAGCAGGAGTTACAAAGGTGTTTGAGTTCCCTCCGCATCCGCTTTTCACTGGGGAACCGCCGCTACGAGAACTCAGCGCAGCGCGGTCCATGCACCGCCGCTCGCGGCTTTACGTCGGGGGTGGGGCTTCGAGCGTTGGGGGTGGTTCAAGGGGGCGGGGCCGGCGGGAGGTGGGACTGGAAGGGCCGGGGCGCTTCTAGAACGGGCGGCGGGAGTGGCGGCTGTCGGGTGAGCGGGGCTGGGGTGAGCGGGGCAGAGCTGAGGGTACAGGTACAGGTACAGCTGGAGCCTGTACTGCGGGCGGTAGTAGCAGCAGCCCCCCGGGACTCGCGGGAGTCCTGCTGTGGGGGGGCCGTGAATACTGCCCGGCGGCGTAGTCCAAGCGGATTGAAGGTGGTTTAGCCCTGGCGCCCCGCGGTTAAATCTTCGTCCGGGATCCTTGCTCCGCTGCTGGTGGTCGGCGGCTCCTAGGTGGCTGCCCCGATCCAGCATCCCGCGGCGGGGCAGTAGCCCCTCGATGCTGCCCACGGGCCGGGCTCTGGGGGACGGCGGTTTTGTATAGGGGGAGGTGGTATCACAAAACATTAGCGGATCTTTGTGAGCGTGTTAGAGGTATCATCGCAAAAACAGTGGAAGAGCTTGTTCTCTTTCTCCGCGCTGTTTGGGTTTGATAGGACTAGCATTCCCAGTTAAATGACTGCCAGCTGACTTTTGCCAGCTGCAGTAACTGGCTGTGCGTGTTCCTTGCCTGCTATAGGCTCAACATAGAGCAAGCGATGGCTTAAACTTTGTAGAGGTGTTCAAACCCCACTTGTTCTGCTCCCGTCCCATTTTATTTTACTTTGAGCTTTTTTTTCAAAAAAATGCCTCTCCCGGCACAATTGTGCAGCTGAGCTGGGGACAAGCCAGGAGAGCACAGGCAGCTGCGTGTGAGCCGTACGGTGCAGTGACCGAAGCCTCGGTGTAAAAGGCTGTGCCAAGGCAGTGGAGAGCAGTTGGTGGGAAAATTGAAGGCACTACCTAAGTGTTACCACAGCCCAGCTGGGGCATAGCATCTTGGCATGTCATAAAATGGCAAAACATGCCTTTGACTAGACAGGAGTAATTTTATTTCAGGAAGCAAAGAAGGTGCTTGTAACCTGGAAGCAAGGAGGAGAGAAGATATGTAAATGAAGACTCTTTTTGGGACTGTCTAACTTTGTGGTGTTTGGTGTTTCTAGCCAGTAATCATCCTTCTTCCTCAGTATTAAAGCAGTGTTCCCCAGAAGACAATTTTGTAACAAAGCCTCTTGCTCTTTAATTTTATAGGTGCTCTGTGAGGGTGGAGTGGAGCTGAAAGGCTACTGTGGCCATCTTTTCCATGGTAATACTTCATCTTTCTGGCATTAAGGACGTGGAAATAATACCACAGGTATGTTGTGAATGTATGTAGCAATCAATAGCTGCCACTCACATTTCATAAACAGAACGTTATTCTGCATAGGTAAATTGGCACTGTTGTGGCACTAACAGTCAAGAATGTGGCTTATTGCTAATACCATAATTTCTTGGGCTTGAATTTTTTAATGTGATTTTTTTTTTTTAATGTGATCAATCATACTTTGGGAAGCTGTGCAGGAATGACATACTTCAAAGAGAGTAACAGCAGAGGGAGCAGGGTTTACTAGTTAGTGTGAGAAATGTTTCACTGGAGGTTTAAGTCAGGAATCTGATCTGTTTCTCATTTCCATGCTGTGTGCATTGGCAAACTTCCAAAGAGGCAAGCTGTAAACAGATATTTTTCTTATGACTAGTTCTGACTTTTGTGCATAGTTTTCTATATGTCAGAGATATGAGAACATGGAATGTGGAAGGGGACATGTTCTAGGGTGATATTAGCATACTCATGGAAAAGCTGGCAGTCCATGGCTTGAACAGGAGCACTCTGCTGGATTAAGGCTGGCTGGATGGCTGGGCCCAGAGAGGGGTGGTGAACAGTGCTGCATCCAGCTGGCGACCAGTCACTAGTGGTGTCCCTCAGGGTTCTGTGCTATTCTGATCAATATTTTTATTGACAATATGGATGAGGATATTGAGTCTTCCGTTAGTAAATTTGCAGATGACACTAAGTTGGGAGCATGTATCAATCTGTTGGAAGGTGGGAGAGCTCTGCAGAGAGATTTGGAACAATTAGATGAATGGGCAGAGTCCAGTAAGATAAAGTTTAATAAATCCAAGTGCTGAGTTCTGCATTTTGGCCACAATAACCCCCTGCAACGTTATAGGCTGGGAATGCTGTGGCTGGACAGTGCCCAGGCCAAAAGGGACCTGGAGGTACTGGTGAACAGCCAACTGAATATGAGCCAGCAGTGTGCCTGGTGACCAAGAACGCCAACGACATCCTGGTCTGGATCAGGAATAGTGTGGCTAGCAAGAGCAGGGAGGTCATTCTTCCCCTGTACTCAGCACTGGTGAGGCCCCACCTTGAGTGCTGTGTCCACTTCTGGACCCCTCAGTTTAGGAAGGATGTTGAGACACTTGTCCACAGAAGGGGAACAAGGCTGGTGAGTGACTTGGAACACAAGCCCAATGGGGAACGACTGAGGGAGCTGGAATTGTTTAGCCTGGGGAAAAGGAGAGTCAGAGGTGACCTTACCATTCTCTACAACTTCCTGAAAGGTGGTTGCAGTCAGGTAGGGTTGATCTCTTTCTCCAGGTAGCAACTGACAGAATGAGAGGACACAGCCTTAAGCTGCACCAAGGGAAATATAGGTTGGATATTAGGAAAAAATTTTCTACGGAAAGATTGATAAAGTACTGGAATGGTCTGCCTGGGGAGGTGGTGGAGTCACCATCTCTGGATGTCTTTAAAAAAAGACTGGATATGGCACTTGGTGCCATTGTTTAATTGAGGTATTAGGGCATGCGTTAGACTCTAAGATTTGAAGGTCTCTTCCAACCTAGTGATTCTGTGAATAGAATCAACCCCTGAGATAATGATGACCTCTAATTTTAATTAAATTTAATTGAAAGAAACAGTTCACTGGCAGACCTTTTAATTTGAAAAGAACCCCTGTTATTTCTGAACAGGAAGGTGCTTTATATGAGCAAATGGTAAGTTTATGTCAAGTTATGTTAAGTATGGTGCTATATTAAATTATGGCCTTTGCACAGTAAAATGACATCTAAATATTAATGCTGAAAAAATAAGCTGTAGTGGAAAAAGCCCAGATTCTTTTTGTCTTCACCAACACTGTGGGATTAGACTCCAGGCTGCTTTATAAAGGCAGAGCTTGCAGAGTAAGATTCGTGAGGGTTTGCTGTGCCTTAGACTTGCATCAGTTTTGTTCTCTACTGGAACATGGAAGAAACATTCTTTATTACGGCTTTAAAAAATTACTACGTGCTAATCAAGATGATTATGGTTTCTAAGGTGGTTATAATTTATTTTATGTTAAAAGAAATGCCAGCAATTTTGCATGATTGTGCTGTGTCATTGTTAATGCTTGCAAATAAACAGCTTTTCCTTATTTTCTTTTGGCTTGCCGTGAGAAACACAAGGCAATCATTGGTGTTTTTGCCAGGTAATTATAATTTCTTTTAGATGCATATTAAAATGCTTTGTAAAGAAAGGTGGTGATGTTGGCATAAGCTTCTTTGAGCAGTAAAACCCATGTGCTCTGGAGGAAGGGGCGGGGTTGAACACTGGTGCATCTGAGTTCATGTGGATAATGAATTTCAGCTCTGAATTATTTGTTTCAAGGTTTTCAGCGAATAGTGTAGGTTTCCTTAGTATTTAATAATTTTAAAAAAAATTATAGCTGCTATTATGTGTTGGACTAATCTGCAAGACTTGAAATACTGCTACTAGTGAATGGCTTTATGGCTGCTTTTCTTGGTTGGTATTGAGAGAGGCTCCTTCTCCTTGAGCATCTTAAATCTGTTTATAATTAAGCCTGTCTTTTGGCTCTTAATAAGTAAGCAGTCTTGCCGGTCTTTTTTTTATATCGTTTTCCACTTAGATATCATTAACCTTATCTACAGCCATCACTACTGATAGCTGCTTAATGCCTACTTTGGAAGCTCTGCTGTTTGTGGAGGGGTGTGCAAACAAGAAGGTAGGGTGGAAAATAGTGGCATTTGGAGGAGCCCCCAACAGGTCTGTCTCACCCAACGGTCCAACCTCAAATTGCTGTTTGCGGATGGACCAAATTTCAGAGCCTCAACTGTATGTGCACCAAGAACTCATCAGTGGCCTGAGGTGATCTTGAATTAGTGATTTGCTTGTTGGATTTCACCATGATATTTAAATATAGATACATATGGAAGCAGTTTTTCAGAGTGATTTCCCAGGTGTCTTTAACAGCACAGGCAAGCACAGAAGAGGAGACAGGCTGTAACCCTTACTTGTTGTCATCAGCTTGTGTGTTATATTCCAGTAGCTCAGAAAAATGGTATCTTAATCAAATGTTGACAGTATCTGGTTATGATACTTTGTCTCACAAGCTTTATTCCTCTGCAGCAAATTCTGGGTCTATAAGAATGAATTCAAAACAGAAAGCAGTACTCTGCCTTAATTCCTTAGAAGAAAACATTGCTGTGTGCTCTGAAAAACTTTTCCTCCATCTAGTCTTTGGAAAAAGAGGTGACTTTGCTTGTATCGGTTTGTAGCAGTTACATCGCACCCCATTTCCCCACCTCCCCTAGAGAAGCCCCATAGCCAAAGGAGTGCTGTCACCTTTCAGTGTGGAGTGGAAGAACACTGTTCTGGTTTTTTTTCTGGAGTTCATGTGATCAAAAAGAGCGTTCATATAGGAGTACAAGTAACACTCTGGTCTGATTTACCACAATAAAGGGTATGACTTGTATTCTTTGTTGTACAGACTTATGTTGGTCTTATGTTGGTTCCACTTAATTGTCCTGCATGAGAAATCTGAGCAAATTCCTGGATGAAGGACTTGCTTTTGTTGCTCCTGTTTATAGTTAGGCTATCAGGCAGGTGGAGTACTCTTGTACTGTGGTGAATAAAGGAGAGTGTAGCATATCAGTTTGATCAGAAGTTGAGTCCTAAAGGCATTGGATAAGTAATAGGTATTTGTTTCCTCTTCTGACCTGAAAAAAGTCCTCCCTTTTATCTGGAAGTTGGCCTATGTTCCCTGTGACTGGATATGAAATTCAGAGTGAATGAGGAACTGAGAACCATGGTAGATGTGCAAGCGACTTCCCTTTAATGAGTCAGGTCTCTATAAAGATATAAAAATATCTTGTTGATTATGAGGTTTTTAGAAAGCTTATCTAATAAAGAATTCAGTCTAACTCGTGGAGAAAACTTTCATCCTTGTGTATTTTGTCTAGAACCCTTTTTCCTTCTGCGTGTGTTCTCTGACAGCACTCTGCCCATAGGAAGAAGTAGGGAGTAATGATTCATTGAGGTCTTAGACTGTAAAGAAGTTTAAAAAAAAAAAAAAACAACAAAAAATCTCCAACAAAACCCACAAAAGCAAAAGCTAGAAATATAGGCAGTATTTTTCCTACAGAGGCTCGTTGTCTGGAGTTTTTGTTTGAATAAAACACACTGGCTTTACAAACATTTGTCTCCATTATTGAGGTAGGAGCTCATGCTCCTTCTGGCCCTCTTGCCCTTGTTTTTAGCAGATTGTTCAGCTGGAGTGGGGTGGGCACACATACGTGTGGCTGTGCACACATGCTCCTGCCAGCCAAGACTGTGGATATTCAGCCTTCTGTAATTCATTATTTGTGCTGGTTTTCCCAGTAACAGCTGTGAAAATAATGTGCACAAAGAGTCTTCAAACCCTGCAGCCAGATGTCCTGCTTGTTTGAGCAAGAGCTGCTTTCTTTTTTTACTGAGGTCTCTGTTTAGTGAGTCAAGTAAAACTGAGTAGGATGGTAAACCTGTTGAAGATCTGCTATAAAGGCAAGCTGGTACCTGTAGTAAGTGTCTTTCTTGGCAGATAGCCTCGGCCTTGAGAGAACATGGTAAGGAGGTGCAGGGGAATATAGAGTTGTGTTGTTTTAACTGGAATATTCTCTTGTAATTGTTCTCCCAGGTTTTATGTTGTACATCCAAAAAAACACTCCATTAAATGATGACAGACTATTCAGATGGACAGATGAGGCTTAATATATACAAATGAATGTTCTTCAAGTGCACTTGACTTGCTGGACTTTCTACTACATCACTTACTGTGACTTGTAATATTGGCAGACCTCTGCTTGGCACTATTCACGCAGCTTTATTAATTTCTCAGTCCAACACTCAGATTACTCATGTACTAGTTCTTAACTAACTGAAACAGTTTGGGAATATGCGGTTTGCAGGAGGATGAGAAACAGAAGAGGGAAAGTAGAAGACTTATCGTGATACTGTGAGACATTTTCCTGCTTACTCATGCATGCAAACTGTTGCGGCAAATGATTGATTCCTTGTGTAGTCTTGTAAAGCAATCGTCTTGCCATGTGATAATTCACAACAGAGCTATTGCTAATGTTTTTAGTGATGGTGGCGTCACTGAGGGTGTGTTTGATGTTTGTGTCTGTGACACCGGTGAACCCAGCTGAGGGTAAGAGCTTCAGCTGTGCTGTGGACTTGAAAATCCAAGAAAGAAAGGTCAATATCCACTTTTCATCTTTTGCCTTGTGGATATTTCATGTTTTGGAGGCAGATGTGTGGAGCCTAAGGTAACAAGTTAGAGTTATTGCAGAATTATCTTGATTCCTTCCTCTTTGCTGCATTGCTTGAGATTTCAGGACACTCCATGTATTTTTCTTTACTTTCCCCCCTCCATTCCCCTTTCTCAGGTTGATTCCATTTTGCCCCCAATAGATGCATTTTGACTGTATTTGGAGTTACTGGGTCGCACAGTGTTTGGTGGTAATTGGTGATAATTTTGAGCCACCAGTTTGCCCAGTTATATTGAGTTGGAAAAAGTAATAACTGCTTCCTGAGTTGAGGTGGAGAGTTGTCACCTCCCTTTAGACATTGTGCAAGGCTGTGCCAGGAGCTCCATGTTTTAGCAGCGGTGCTCCTACTTGAGGCTGGCATTGGTGGCTGTTCCTGCTTGGTGGACAGGCAGCTCTGGAGTGAGCCGTGGATTCATCCAAGTGCAGTGCTCCTCATAAATCTCCTGGAGAAGGTGTTCTGGTCATTAGATCTCCCAGGAGGTTCTTCTGTATGCCCCTTGCTTCACTTGGCCCCATCTCTTCAGACTAGTTTACCTCCTGTACCGCTCAGGCTGTGCTTTTGGAAGTGGAACAATCTGCTTTCAACATTCATTTCTGGGGCTGGATTTCTAAGCTGGCACAGCCTTGGAAATACAGAAGTTATAAGGGCTGTGCCCAGAGGCCAATATTCTGCATCTTGAATAAGCAGAGCTGGAAATTTCACTTTTAATTTTTCCAACTGTTGCTGCCACTTCCACACTACAAAATGTTCTATTTCTCTATTTGGCTTTCTCATGATTTGTTTCTAGACAGTTCTTAAATAACTGAGATTTATGGAATGCTATAAACCCATTTAATTTAGACTTATTTATTATTATTATTGGAATATAATACAGTTTTTTGGGTCTCATATTTTCCAGCTCTTGTTATGTCTGACATGGAAAGTGCTGAACTGCTCTTGCAGAAGAGCTTGTTCTCACTGTCTCAGTAGACAATATATTGTTTCCCTTACTTTTCTCATGTGGGCTTTCCAATATCTTCCATGTAAATCCCAAAGAATATGCAAGATAGCATTTGATACTGTTAAGTAACAGCTCTTATGGTTGAAGAAGAGTTTTTCCAAGCTTTACTCATTAAAACTCAGAGTCTAAATAATTTTCATGAGGGTAAAATGGCTGAAGATGAAGATTAATGCTTTGGTTTGTTTCTCACAAATAGTTAATTATTTTTATTCCTCCTTTTCCTTTTAATTTTTTACAGGTTTGAGCTATCTGGAAAATGAAACCCTGGCTGCAGTTGATGTTCTTCCTTTGTGTTTTCCTGATCTGGCATACAGAAGCAGAGTTCTTTACCTCCATAGGTGTGAAAAAAAACAGTGCATGATGATGTGGTTATTGTGATTGCTAGAACTGTTAAAATTATCATCTGAAGCACACAGGTTTCTTCATGTGGCCTTGGTCAACACTGTCTCTATTAAGAAAAGCTGCTCTTCTGCAGCATCAAGGGCAATTTGCAGTTGGTTGACTTAGAGCACTGACCAACATGATTTAAATTTCTCTGGGGCCTCTGTCATTAAAATAAGATGAAGCCTGTGTTCTGTTAGGGTTTGTGCATCTGTTGTCTTGAACAGAACACACCACTTTGTGCTAAAAAGCTTAGTCCTGAATTTGAGTTATGAAAATAATTTAAGTGGTAAATATGTGAGGTTTTTTTCCACAGCAGTCGAAACCTCCTGTCCTCTCAATATGTTGGAGTTAGGTGTTAGAGGGAAAAATCAGTAATTCCCTTTCATGATGTGCTTTGCTTGGCCTGAGTGAATCCTAAAGAATTTGCATTGTAATAAATCTGTAACATAATTTGATTTTTATGACAATTTAGTTCATGTGTTCTAATAAGATACAACCATGTATGAGTATGGTAGAGCTTCAAAGCCCAAACTGAGTTTTTTGCTGTTAATTGGTTTTACGTTTTTCTGTTGAGCAGTTTGGGGACTTCCCCTCCAGAAGGGCATTAGAGGCTGGTTAACTATACCACTGGCTGTTCTCCAGAATGTCCTTTGATCACTGGAGCTGTTTCTGAATGGCAAAACTCAGAACTCCTGGTTCTGCACACTGTGTGGAACTGCTCAGCCGAAGTCCTACTGCCAACCTCCTCACGTGCCTTGTGGCTGGCTGAACAATATTTAACTTCATGTGTTTTATTTGCTTCTGATTTTTCTAAGTAGTGTTTTATACAAAGCTTCCATGAAGGATCCCCTTCTCTTTGCATTTACTTATTTCTGAACCTTTCCTAACTCTGAAAATAGCACATCCTGATGCCTTCTATTTCCTTAATTCATAATTACTTTGGAATGCTGGAGCTGTGGTTGCATTTATGGACCTCCTCATGCTCTTTCAGTTTGGGCTTTGAAAAGCCAAGTTTGTCATAGCAATTAGAACTGATACGTTAGCAATTTCCACTAATACTAATCAGGAGAGTGTGTGTGAGTCTATGAACATTAGTCTGAAATTCCTCTCTGCATAATGTTGTTTCCGCAGTTACCCATATTGTAAAACTGTAACTTTAAAGGATGCCAGTGATTACAGTAATAATTTGTTAGTGTGACCTAATCTGTATCCATATGTAGAACAGATGCTTTGGCGACCATTTGGATCTTTTGTTGCTTTGTTTCCATAGCTGTATGAATGTCAAACCTTTCTTTTAATTGTCTTGCATGCACTGGTAATACTAAAAGTAATTCAGAGGCAGAGGAAGGGTCAGAGCAAAGCTGCATGAGCTGTTGAAGCTGGGACTTTAAAAGCACCTTGAAGCATTTGAATGCCAGACCTGTGTCTTAATAGCTTTTGTGGTTTACAGGCACTGAAGTGCATACTCTTAATTTGTCTGTTTGTGATGGTTTTTATAGCCTTGGAGCATTTAAGGTTTGCCTTCTATGCACTTGGTAATTGTTACTTTTTTAGATCTGATGAAATTTGCTCCTCTTTTTAGGTCAAATGACAGACCTGATTTATGCAGAGAAGGACTTGATGCAGTCTTTACAGGAATATATCCAAGCAGAAGAGAAAAAGCTCTCTCAGATTAAAAGGTAGGGAAGATTTGTATAATGAAGGGTGACAAAATGGCTGATTTGTGTTCAATCAGATCCCACCTTTGTCACCACTCTCTGATGCTAAATCTTGTTGGTATTTCCTCAGTAGATAATCATAGGGAGAGGATAGGTACTAACTTGGTTTAATTCCCATTAAGGGTCCCTGCTTCAGATATCACTTAGAATTTGCTTCTTTAGAAATGGTGCCCTGGTGGGCTCTCCTCACTTTGCTCTGTCCTTGTACCATCACAGCACTCCTGCAGAGAGGACACATCAGAGTCCTATCAGGAGTCTTGTCATGAGAGCTGAATGCTTCTGTGTGCCAGTGCTGCCTGTTGTTTTGTGCCATCGGCCCTGCTTACAAGAGCCAAGTGTGCCAGTGGTATTTACCAGAACTCTGGGTTCCTTCCTGTGTTGGCTTTGCCCTCAGGGACAGTTATCCTGCCTTGTTCTCTTCAGGTGCTAGGGTGGCTGCAGCACATCTCTGATGTTATCTGGATTGCTTGGATCACTTGAAAGGCTCTAGATGACAACTGATACTTTGTGTCACTTAGGAAGATTGTTACTTCTTGTCTAACCAAAAGCAATATATACTAGGGTGTGACAGGAGGATAGTCTAAATGAGGTCCAGGTTCAGAAGAGCCAAGTGCCTCAAGAAGGCTTTCCAAAGAGCTTTTGAACTCGAGGCTGTGTGTGTCAATCTGACCTTCTTTTGGGAGTGTTGGATGAGAATAGCGCTATGGAGTAGTGAAATGGTAGGAATTCTGGTCACATATACACAAAATGTTCTTTTCTTGAAAAGCTGCCCTTTGGAGGCAAAGCAATATCCTCTTGGAGGTATTGGTAAAGAGAATATCTATTCAATCTATGAATAAACAGGTATTTTAAAGGCTCATTGCAACTGAGATGCATGCTTGCTGAAGTTTGGTTTAAAATACTAAGCAGGGAAATATTTTCCCTTTGAAAGAGACTATTGTAATTAAAAAGTGTCCACTTTGTCCTTGTGAATTTGAGAGGTTGAAAGCTAGTTTTGACAGCAAAAGCGGCAATAATTTAATCTAGATGTGTAATGAGCATGATTTAAGAAGGAAGATGTGCATTCATAAATTGTTCTCAGGCTGAGGTGCACACTTGTCATTCCAGCTGGGCTGAAAAAATGGATGTACTGACCAGCAAATCAGCCTCTGATCCAGAAGGGTATCTGGCACACCCTGTAAATGCATATAAGCTTGTGAAACGTTTGAATACTGACTGGCTTGAATTGGAAAACCTGGTTCTTCAGGATACAACAAGTGGTAAGGAGTTACAGGGGACTGCTGTTGGGAGGCAGCCTTGTGTTCTGGGAAACCAAAACTTGGCTGTGGTTTAAATATTATTGCCAAGTTTGTTTAAAAAGCAGCTAAGGACTTGCCTTGTGTGTACTGATGACCCAAGTGAGTGAAACTTGCAAAACTGAAACACATCTCAGTCAAGACTCAGAAACTTTTATTTAGGGGTAAAGGGAGAATGGGATATGTTTAAAGCTGTGATGGTAACTGTTGAGTGTTATGTTCTCCTGTATATAAACTACTTCATTTGCTTTCCCAGTCTGTTGCTTCTCTTGATGATCATTGTTTTTGACCATGTTGATCAGAGAATAAGATTAAGAATCAATATGAGTCCCATGCTGAACTGGTGGAGAAATTTGTATCAAGCCCCAGCATTAGAGCTGGCAGATGTACTCTGTCAAAAACCAGGATAATATATGGTTGCTATCTCTAAATTTATCCTTCTAAATCAAATGCTTCCAGTACTAATTCTTGGATTTGCATGATTTTGTGTCTGCCTGAATTTGCTTGCATACCTTTTTTAAATGGAGGCTTATTTTTACTGGAATCTTGGTAAGTGAGGGAGAGGTAATTATGTTTTTCAGGCAGAACACCACATGGTTTCCCTTTCTACTCTGCATATGCTAAGGTTTAGGTACTTGAGAGTTTTTTCCAGGCAAGGCTTTTATTACCTTTTGGAAAAGTTATCCTAAATGGAAATAAAATACTGAAGTGTATTGAATACTTTTGTCACTAATTCTTTTTCTAAAGACTTCTTTTTCCAGTTTGGCTTGCTGTATGACTGGAAGTGGTTGAGCTGTTTGCTTCCAGTTGATGGCTTCTTCTTCTGCCCAACCAGTGTGCTATGTAACCGTGATATGTTTGCCTAGTACATTTAATTTTATTTCTGAATATCACCTGGTTTTACTTGTCAGTCTTTACTCTCACTGAGTAAGGCCCTACGCTAGTGAGAGGATTCTGAATCAGGGTCTCTGTCCCTGGAACTAAGACTTGAAAAGCTCTTATGGCTTTAGAGATTGGAATACAGAGTTGGAGATCATTGACCAGTACTACAACCTAAAATCAGTTATCTCTATGGGTATTGCAGGAGATCTGATGAAAGTTTTCATATCAGAAAGAGACATTACATGAAAATGAAGATCATATATTCACATTGTACATCAGTAATTGTGTGGCATAAGAAAATTGAGGAGTTTAGCTATTTATCCCATATTTTTTACTCATGAGCCATATTTAGTGAAAAGAGACAGAAAACAATGTGTTTATAACTTTTGAGCCTAATAAGAGGCTTTACATCTGGATTATTTGAAGCTCGATTCTCAAGCCAGAGCAGATGTTTCCTCTTTGTGTCAATCTTGTACTGATACTTATTCAAGCTCTGGAAGTAACACTTTTCCCTTCTACTGCAAAGGCTTTATTGCAAATCTTACAATGCAGCGTCAGTTTTTTCCAACTGAAGAAGATGAGACTGGAGCAGCAAAGGCTCTGATGCGCCTGCAGGACACCTATAAACTGGATCCTGAAACCCTCTCTCGAGGGAATTTGCCAGGTAAGTGCACCAAGGTCTCCTCGGCTTTAACAGGAAGTCAAACTCTCTCCACAAGTCCTTTATGATATGAGGATTAACTGTTTTTGCCGCAGATGTTTCAGAAAATTTCAAGAGATACTGGGATGTCTGATTATTAGCTGAGTCCTGATGAATGTTTGTTGCTGCTACTTATGAGACACCTGCTGAAATAGGTTATGGTGGCTACCAATATGATGTTTACAAACTGAATAGGCTTCATTGGTGTGTGGGTAGATGAGCTGACTCAATGTTTTTAGCTATTGTAAGTATTAATAGCCATTAATAATTAACTAAATTTTAAGTCTTATCTGTGCATCTTCTGAGCTGGAGCAACTGGAAATCAGTGCAGTCACCCTCAAGTGGATACCAGTTTGTTTAAATAAACATCAACTTGCTTATGCACAAATACAGATTTACAGCAAAGAGAAACAAGCTGCCTGTGCATGTAGTCAGGCATCTCTGATCATCTAACAGTGTCAGTCTGTAGATTAGGTGAAATCTGTTAAGATATTAGTCTGTTCTTCCTTTGTCTACAACAGAAAACACAATTGCTTACCACTGTAACTTCTGTTAAACTTGTCTTTGTTTCCAAAGGAATGAATTAGAATAAAATTAAGATAGAGTTTAATTCTGATGGTAATCACTTTAGTACTGAACTTGAAATATTGTCAAAGAATTGTATCTTAGTAACATTTTTGGATTATAAAAGTGTATATTTACAGATGCTTCTCAATGTGTCCCATGTATTTAAGACAAAGGTGCTTCTCTGTGGATTGCTGAAAGCTATCTTTTTTGTTTTTAGGAACAAAATATAGATCCTTCCTGACAGTTGGTGATTGCTTTGGTATGGGGAAGACAGCCTACAATGACGGGGACTATTATCACACTGTGCTCTGGATGGAGCAGGCCTTAAAACAGCATGATGAGGGGGAGGATACAACAGTCAGCAAAGTAGAGATCCTAGATTATCTCAGCTATGCTGTTTTCCAGTTTGGGGATTTGCACAGAGCCGTGGAGCTCACCAGACGGCTGTTATCCCTTGGTAAGAACAAAGACCACATTATTTCAGCTAGGGAGTGCTGCCAGCAGCAGAGCTGAGAACAGTCGTGGCCTATCCACATTGGTGAGCTGGACTGGAAAGGATAGCGTGACAGATGACATTATAATAAATGTGGGTCTGGGAAAAAAGTCTATTTATACATGAAGTATCTTTAGCAAGCTGTCTTACAGTCCATGCTGTTGTTACTCAAGGCCCTGGTGTGTCTGACTGCATTCACTACCTGTGTGCTTTGCTGGAGTGTACTAAGGTGCTGTGTTTGGTTAAAGCCTTGCTTGTCTCAAGTGGAGATCAAGGCTACCACAGATGTCGGCAGTGCTGCACCTTCTATTGTCCTATTGACTTTACCTATGCCTCTTTATTCCTCGCTGTGGGTACTCTTGGATGCTGGAATACTTTGCCTGAGATCTTACAGTATTTATTTCTGAATATTTGGAACAAACTGAGTTTCTTAAAGCCTCCTTTTATTTTTGGACTGTTTCTAGCTTTCTCTTGAGTAAGCAAATAAGCTTCCTATCCAGTTTTGCCTGCTTCCTGCATTGGAAAGGTCTGTCCTAATTTAGAATAAACATTACTTAGTTAAGTGTTTGATGGGCTTTTAATGAGCTATGGTTCTTAGTTTTGATATTAGCAGCATCCTGAGTGGGTGAAACCTTTTAATTGAGAAACATTTATTAGTCTAATTTCTGCAAAACTAGAATTCTTAAATTAAAATTAACAAGAATATGAGTATGTATCAAATCTAGCTCCCTCTGCAGTGGGGTTTAGCATTGATAGCAGAATGCAAAACCTTATCAGCAGCAACCAGTTGAATACACTTGGCAGTCCCCTCTGAAAGCAGCAGCTTCTTCTGTCTGGGCTCAGCTTTCCTATCTGGCCACTATTAGCCTGTGCTCTAACGAGTGGTGACTGGAGTTGACTAGGTGACTAGGGTTGGTTCCACAACATAAACACAGTAAAGTTGGGAAGGCTGAAAGGGAAAGAATCTGTTGTAGGTAGTAGCATCCAGAAACACACATGAACAAGGAATTGTTCCTTATTGTTCTAGATACCTATCTAGAGTAAAGATCTATTGATGATATTTATTGATTCATACCAACATCATTAATAAATCACGAATATGTCCAAAGATGCTAGTGATCCAGGCTTCCTCCCATATAACCCTGTTATAGCTACAGATGGATGATGTAGGTGGGCTCAGAACTTCCAAACCTGAGAGAAGTCTTTGGGACTGAAGACTGTGGCTGGATTCCACCACACTACTTGATTGAAGTGTGCTTGTGCAGTGTGGGTGAGGAGCATAGTGGAAAGGAGAGGTACAGCAAGTAGGCTACCTTGGTTTGTGCTCGTGAGCTCTGGTGATCTGCTTATCTTGGATAGAAATGATCTGAAAAGTTGAGAGAAAAGGAGGAATGTGGAGAACAAAAACTTCTATTCTTTTTCTTGGAATGCAAGTTTTATGATGGGTTGTTCCAGAAAGGATATCCTGTGTGCATCTCTCCTTTGTGAAGATAGAAACTTTGCAGTGGTGATTTTCAGGGCAGACTGAAGCCAATACCTTTGTTTGCCTGATAGTGCTTTAGGAAGGGAAGAATTGTTGCTGTCTTGATACAGGGACTTGCTTGTACTAACAGTTCCTGAGTCTGCAAAAATCACAGCTTCTGTCTGTCTTTCTTCCAATGAAGACAGCACTCATGAGAGAGCAGGCAGTAATCTGCGGTATTTTGAGAAGCTGATGGAGAAGGAAAGAGAGGAGAAGGAGAAAAAGTCAGTAAACAAGACTGTGACAACCACAGAAACCGTGGTGCAAAGTGGAGCCTATGAGAGGCCTCTTGACTACTTGCCAGAGCGTGATATCTATGAAGCGCTTTGCCGAGGTGAAGGGGTGAAAATGGTAAGAGACAAGAATTTCCTGACTATGCTGCCTTTGCATAAGGGTGGTCAAGCTAAGTGGGAGATACCATATTTTTTCTTCTGTGAAGCTCTTTTTTTAAGAAAAATTTAGGTTTGGTTCTGAACAGGCTGAGATTTTTACCTTATATCTTGGCTTCTCAATCTTCAGCTGTTATATACAAGCAATTCTTAGCTGTGTCTCTTAAAGGTTATGGAAAACTGTTTCCCCTCAGTCTGTCTACTCAGCTTTGTTAAAGTCAGCTTTACAGATACAAAAGGAGGCTTTTTCCCCTGAGAGCTGATTATGCTTTACCACATTCTGGTAATCACATTATTCCTTCCCTTTTGCATCTTGGACATGTTCTTCTGGAGTGACTATTTTGACCAAGTGATTTCCAGTATGTCTCAACAAACATGGCTTCAAATCTTAGTCCAGAGAAAATAATTAATTTATTTAATCTGTATAGTCTTAATTAAAAGAACCAGGCTTTTTTTACAGACACTGCTTGTGTAGTTCTTAATCTGTAACCTATTATGATTTAATTCCCCTGAAGTTTAGTGTTTCAGATGTGGTATCTGGAACAGGATATCTTGTTTTTAATTGCAGTAAATTGCTCTTATAAACAACAGTGATTATCTTGTTTACATCTTGTATTTTCTGGTCGCCTGATGGCTTTTACAATGTGTGTGGAATGAAGCTCATCTTCTTGTCTTGTCTGTTTGAAGTTCAAGAAAAGTGTTTGAGCAGACAGTGCTTTGTTTGGTGTTTTGTTTCAGACACCTCGAAGACAAAAAAGGCTGTTTTGTCGGTACCATGATGGAAACAGAAACCCTCATCTGCTCATAGCTCCCTTTAAAGAAGAAGATGAATGGGACAGTCCTCATATTGTGCGATACTATGATGTCATGTCTGATGATGAAATAGAGAAAATTAAACAACTAGCTAAGCCCAGAGTAAGTTTCCCTTTCTCCATCTCACTAATGACCGCTAATTCCATGCTTCAGTCCCTGTTAGCAAGCACTAGGCAAAAATTTGAAAGATCTGGTTTCATACTACAGATGATACACTGCAGCTCTGAGCCTAAAGGGAATGATTTTGAAACTGCCTGGTGATGTAGGACCATAAAGCCCAGGCTCCCAAAGGTATTTATACATTGTTGCACTTAATTATGCAAAATTCTCAGTAAATGGCTTAGAAAGCTTTAAGAAATTAGAGACTAGACTTGAAAAGTTAAATGGCTGCCTTAAAATAATAGGAGTAGGTGTGCAGTATGCGTTAAATCTGCCTTTTGAACTGGAACTAAAATGAAATTTTAAAAGCCCCAATTTCAACAGAAGTAGAAAAAAAATTAAGTTGTGCTAGAATAATATCTAGAGGTTTGGGTGTTTGTTTTTTTGTGTATCCTAGAATCCACTGCTTCTGTTCTAAACCAAAGGTGTTCCCTGTTACTCATGGTATGAGTTGTGGTGACTCTGCACACAATAAAAAAAGCAGCTACCTCATGCAAAGCTAGTAATTATCCATTTTTTCTGGAGGTGGAATTTTCTGGCAAAAAGTAGTATGGCAGTGTGATAGTAGTAGATGCCCCCTTAGATTTTGTGTCAAGCCTGAACAGATCTTTGCTTATAGAGGAATGGTTCATATTGACACTCTTCAGGCTACCGCTATGAAATATGGTACTAAAATTTCAGTGAAGATTTACCCTTCTGTAAGTATTTCTAAATGTAAGCATAAATAGTTGGAAACAGATTGAGAAACTGATGCTTCCCAAGATCATTAATAATTTAGGATGTTTGTGGAGCTGGTCTTCTATGACTACCAGCCAACTATGGAAGTGTTGGCTGAACACTCCTGTCTCAGTGAGGATTCTCACCTCCCTAAATGGAAAATTTTCCTATTAGATCATAGTAGAAAACTTCAAGAGCTTCAGATAAAATGGAAGCATTCACATAGAGCATATCACTTAATCTATTTTATCAAATAAAGCACTGTCTAAAGACAGCTTTTTTTTTGTTTCTCCTTTTTATTCAAAATTTTATAGAAAGGCTTAATTCTTGGTCTCTGAATTTTGCATGTATTACTAATGTTAGAGGAATTTTTCATATTATCTATGTAGTGTAGAACTGCAGTCAGTCCCTAGAAGAGTAGGTAAACATTATAGCCATAAGATTCAGATGAAAATTGTCAGTTTAAAAAAGCAACCATTTTCTTATTAGTTGTTTTTTCTAAACCTATGTATAGCTCAGCTGCAAGAATAACTTTAAATTCTGCAGTACTACTGAAAGAATGGAAAATGCAAGTCCTGTGATGAGATGGTCCTTAATAAATACAGCTTAATTTTAGCCTGGAAGTTTTAGTCAGTAATCATGGAAGCTTTCAGACAAAACTGTGAAGTGTTATTTTATTTTAGGCTGAGAAAGAGCCACCTTCTTTATTCTAAAATGTATTTTCAAGAAGCTTTTACTTTTGAGTCCAAGCTCTTCAACATTATCTGCAGTTTACACTTGCCAATACTCTTTGTAGAGCAAGAACATCTGTATGTGATTGGGAGTAGCTGCAGTTGAGTTGCTTTTTATGCTTGTTTTGCAAAATGCAATCACTGTTATTCCACTTCCAAAAAGTAGATCCAGCTTTTCAGGCAATCCATCAGAACTGGGTGGGGAGGGTCAAGAAAATTCTGAGCTCTATTGATGTGGATAGTATTGAGGCAGGTCCACTATAATAGTATGAGAACCATATTCCCAAAATTCGTAATGTTACCTGCAAGCCAGGAATGTGTGAACAGGCAAGAATATGGCATGAAGTGGGGAGCCATGGATATCAGAGCTCATGCTGCAGAGTTTAGCAGTGCAGAATTTTGGAAGGAAATAACCATGGAGAGCTTGCTAAACTAAATAGACTCTGAAACAGTTAGTGAGGCTTCTGACCAATGAAGGGTTTTACAATGATTTTTGAAAGCAAATGCCTCTTACAAGGCTGATTTCTCCACCCTGAGAGAGGAAATCTCACGTTTTTCAATTACTTATACCAGATGAGATGTAGATTGTGTGTCTTAAATGGAGAAACCTACCTCTCAGAGCAGATAGGGAATAATATCAAAGCAGTCAGGCTTTTATTTAGATCATATGCTAAGTGCAGAAATCAAGCAAGCATACGCAAGCTTGAAAATGGCAGCAGAATGAAAAGTTTGGGAAGCAAAATATATATTCCCAAAGCTATGCTTCACAGTACCAGTGAAGAACACCATTCAGTCAGCCTGACTCTTCTATTATAATTTATACAGGCAAAATCTGGAACAAAATAACAGTGAGTCAGAATTACAGCAACAGCTGTGCCAAGAACACTTGTATAGGGACAAGATGGCTGACATGGAGTGTTGAGGAAAAATGAAGGAAATAAAGACTGCATTCTCTGAAGAAGATGCAAATAAAAAGGTTTTCTATGACCTCTAATTAGGTGGCAGAAAAGAGGGATGATTTAGAGTGTGTATAGTTAGCAGGAGTTAAATTTAAATGTGGTCTGAGTTTACACTGAAAGAAAGGAGTGTCCCAGTTCTTGTTCTCTGCTGCAAGAATGAAACCAAAATGAGCTGGTGTATTGTTAGCAGTCATCTGTCACTCTGACACTACAGCAAACTTTATCAGTTTTGCCAAGTTCAATTTTTTTTCCTACTGATCTGGTGGTATGGCCTATATGTGATGATATTCACTGTTTAAAATGTATAGGTGTGCTGTGCTCTTGCAGAGTTAGATGTAATCATGTCATCTTGTAATAACATCTCACACTGTCTCAGAGCTAGATGTTCCAGACATCTTTCAGCTGGAAAATTTGAGCATGGGAATTTTGAGAGTTGTCCTTGGGAATTTACTACCACTGGGGATTTGCTTGTGCCATAATTTGTAACTCATTCTCTTTAAGTTTTCATTTGTTATTTTACATCTAAGAATGAGGTTGGGTTTCTAGTCCACATGAGGAGCAGACTTGTTAAATTCATGCACTATCCAATGATTTTCTCTTTGCCAGGAACTTGGACATCATATGTTGTTAACTTTTGTTGTTGTTCCCTCTCACTAATATTGACTCCAGCTGTTTAAAAAAAGTGCCTTCAAAACCTGTTCAGCAAGCAGCTCATGGATTTAATCAATATCATGGCTTGTGCAGTTCATCAGACTCTTTTTCCATGATCAAATGCAGGTGGTGGATTATACTTTTATTTCTGCATGTGTTGTTTTAGCATGAAATCAGATCATAGTCCAGGTTGAAGCTCTTTCATCCAGTGAGGTATTGAAGTTGGACAAATCAGGTGCTGCTTTTGGTAAGATGCAAGAAATTTTCTATCCTGTAGCTGATGTGTTTCTTCCCCCTTGGGATTTTTTTTGTCACAGCTGGCAAGAGCCACAGTACGTGATCCCAAAACTGGTGTCCTTACAGTGGCTAGCTACAGAGTATCCAAGAGGTAAGCAGAGAGGAGTTGAGCTTTAAGGTTTTTGTGCTTAACAGCTATTGTTTGCTACCTACTGTGTCTGAAAACTTGAAGTGCTTGGCATATAACCAAAGCTTCCCCAACAAATGCATGGACATCTAGCCATCTGACAAAGGGCAGAAGAATCCTTCTGCCTTAGGAAATGTGATGTGGTGATTGGTATTGTAAAATAATGTGTTGCTATCCTTCCTGTAGCTCATGGTTGGAAGAAAATGATGATCCTGTTGTGGCCAAGGTGAATCAGCGAATGCAGCAGATCACAGGGTTAACAGTGAAAACAGCTGAGCTCTTGCAGGTTGGTGCACTGGCTTCGTCATGGTGGAATTAGCTGCTGATTGGGGTGATCTGGTGCAGATGGATGCTTTCCCTGTGTGTGCCAGACAGAGAAGGGTGGGGATATCAAAACAATATAAGATAACTTCATTTGAAGGAATTTGAGATTTACCAGTTTGTTTTGAGGGATATGCTTCCTGCTTATTTTTCAAGTCTGCAAAAGTTTATTCTCTGTCCTAGTTCAATTTTTCTAAGACCCAAATATTTTTTGTAGTCCTGCTATAGTCTCATACATGAATTCTCATCTCTGGATGGCTGTTGGGGAGAAGAGTGCCAGTAGTACAGCACTGCCAGAATAGCTGTACGTTAGCCTATTCACTGTTTCTTTTCCTTCATGCTCCTTGAATTCCTGTTTCAGAGCCTGATTGAAATATTCTTGATTACAGGCTATCCATAGAAACCAGGTAATTGTGTAATAATGATCTGGGAGACACATTAAGTACAGCCTCAGAGTAACTATGTTACATGATCATAAAGTAAGTGAAGAGGTGCTTTTAAGTTAATTTTCTGTGCTCCTGGAGGGGCATTGGTGTGTAACAGATCATACATGAGTGGCACAGAGTTTAGTACTGTCCCCTAGGCTGGACCCACTGGGAGTTGCACACGTTCATCTGCTTTTCCTTCTGAGGAAGGAAGCAAAAATGTGGTGGAACTACTGCTGCTGAATGTTTAACAGCCTGTTGTAGTGATAAGTACAAACTCTCAAACTACAAAAGGGAAAAAGCACTCAAGTTGTTCCTCAACTGACCTCAGTTCCAGCAGTCTACAAATAAATTAAGTGTACTATAGATAATCTTGCCACAAAGTGCTGTTTCTCCGAGCATGCTCTGGATTTCTGAGAGTAAGTGCTATTCTGCAGCAGTCACATGCAGTTCAGTAGATATTTATGTGCTTCCTTCTTCCATGCTGTAGGTTGCCAACTATGGAATGGGAGGGCAGTATGAGCCACACTTTGATTTTTCTAGGGTAAGATCACACTTGCAATTATTTCTTAGTGGGGTGGGGAGGAGGGAACATTTTAGTCTGAGAGAACTTTTGAAAATGTTTTCTGTTAGAGTATTTAATATGTAGCCCTGTTGCATGGATGGATTATGATTTCTGAAAAGCCTTTGCACTGCCTTCTCTGATGCTGAAAGTTCAAGAGAATAATGAACAAATCTCCCTGCTTACCTCTGGGATCTTGATTCCTTATACAGTACAGAGACACTAAAAGAGTCATGCAGCACTTGAATGTGCTCTTTGCATTTGTAAATTTGTTTTATTTATAAACTGAGATCTGCTAGCTCTGGGTTATGAGTCTGCCTCGTTCCATTAGGCTTCTGAGTTCAGTGATGTTGTCCAAACCCTGCTTTGCTGGGTGCTTGAAAGCATTTTGTGGGAGCTGACTGAGGAGGAGATAACTTTCCACCTTCCTTCCGAAAAGTAAACATTATGGAAATCCTCATAGTTGTGCAGCCCTACTGACAGACTTCTGAGAGTGGCTGCAGCACTGGGGTCTGAAAAGAGTTCCCTGCATTAGTGTTGAGGATAGTGCTCCAGTACAGGTGGATGTACAGGCAGTAGTGCTGGGTCTTCATGAGGCACTAGAGGGCTCTACCTGGCAAAGAGCAGCTCTGGTTTGCTACTGGAGAAAAGAAGAGTAGATTATTAATAATTACTCTAAACAAGTTCATAGATGTGCTAAGCATACTGAAGAGATGTGGTGACTGGTAACTTGAAATATAAAATCCATGTGATGCCTTGGTTTCTGTGGTATTTCAATGGGATCTGGCATAATTCAGATTGTCCTAGTGGTTTTACCTGGTAGGAGGGATTGCTGCAGCCAGAACACTCACCCAATAATTGAGGGCAGAATTGAAGCCACTCAGCAGTGTTTAAAAAAATAAATTCCAATTTTCAACACTGTGGAAGCTTGTATTCGTTAGCTTTGGCCCATTCTGAGAATTTTCCTCTTAACTTCAAGTCTGATTAGTTTCCTGAGTTGAGCAAATGCTCTTAAATTTTCTTCAAAGCCTTTGGACTCAAGGACCTCAGACATCAAATTGGCCACTGTGAACTTGACTTTTGGATTTAGAGCTGGAGCACAGCTCCACTTGGAACATAACCTTGGCTGCAGTTGTCAGCTGAGGCAAGGCAATTGCAGAGGTTGCTACAGTTTTGGTCTGGTCCTGAAGGCTCTCTGTGCATCATCACAGTTTTTGTATTGAAATAGAGGTGCTGCTGTGTGTCCCCAGCTTCTGATCAGTGTTGAAGCTTTTTGTTCCCTTGCAGTTCTTAAACAGAGGCACTTCAGTAGCTGCCTATTACAACTTGGAGATTTTACTGGTTGTTCAAGTTAGATTTTTGCTGTTGAAGTTCAGAAATTCATGGTTGGACCTGGGTTTCACAGCAGTGACAGTAACCAGGGAATTCCCTGTATCTCAGTGTTCTTATGTTGACTTTTTTGGATTGGATTTGCATATTCACGTTTTGGGGGTTTTATGAACGCATTTCAGGAAAGACCACCTGCTTCAAGCAGATTTAACTACAACATATGGTCACTGTCGTTTTCCTTGCTGTTTGTCTTTTTCAATACTGATTTATTGTTGTCTTTAAATGTTGAACATTTTTGCAAGGGAAAAATGCACCTTGATGTCTCCTGACTGGAATGACTTCCTGACTATTAGCAATGTAAATAAATTTCTAATTTCACTTTTTGAAGGCAAGGAAGACACTGGTATTCTAGATGTTCTAGACACTGGCACTAGTGTGATCTCAGCTTCAACAAATGAAACTCCATGTTTTTTACAGACTAAAGACAATTTGATCTTTTTGATGTGGTCTTTAGTCCTAGACAGGCAACCACCTGAAACTACTCTATAGTTTTGTCTGCTGTCAAAACATGCATTTGCCCTTCTCATGACAGTATTTCTTCGAGTTGCTACATTTACAAGAATCTGTGTTATCTAAAGCCCACTGAAGATTATTTTTTTGTATTCATGTCAGTTGTTGACTTTGGATCAGTGCCCAGAACAATAATGGCCTGTTGTTGACCTTACTTGGATAACATCTGTGCCACAGGCCTTCAAGGCATTACTTCTATTGTCCCTTGTTCAGTGCGACTTCTTATCACATCCAGGTGATCTGTGCATGCAGCTGTACACCATGGCTGCAACTTGTGATGGCTTTAATGTTGTAATGGCCCTGTATCAGTTGTTCCGTTTCAATTCTAACCCTTTAAATTGGGCTTGAGGATCTCTGCAGAGCTGCACATACGTAGCTCTGGTGAGAGCCTGTTTGGAACCCGGGTTAAAGTTGTTGTCTATTGCAGCGACCCTTTGACAGCACACTCAAATCGGAAGGAAATAGGCTAGCGACGTTTCTTAACTATGTAAGTATCTCTGTCTGTCTACTGTCTGTGAGCTCGAAATTTGCAGTTATTCTCATTTAATTTTATAGAAAGATGAGCCAGATGCTTTCAAGCGGTTAGGGACTGGAAATCGTGTGGCCACTTTTTTAAACTATGTAAGTATGATCCTTTATGTGTTCAGTCTTACTTTAGCAGCATCTTTTTACAGTTTGTGCAGTTTTGTAGAGGTTTCCTGGTGTCTGGCAATAGGGATTTCTTTATTCTTGCAAGAATCAGGTGCTGTCCCATTTGTATTGATAGAATTTTGGTGGTATTTAACCTCAGAACAGAAAATTTGAATGTAGGACCCATCTTCTCGTTTTGGCCACTTTGCTATGGAATCTTCTACTTAATTTGATTCCATGGGGGGAGAGAAGACTTTGGCTTATTTCTTAGAGGAAAATACTTGGGGTACTCATGTGGTATGCTTTTGGAGAACTTGACTATCAGCCACTTAATGTGAGACAGTCATATTTTTTCCCCCACGGTAGAAAAAAACACACAGCACGTGATGACAGCATGTGATGTTGTGGTCTGTCGTCCTCTTCCTCAGCTGTGTGGCAAAGCCAGAGTTGCTCAGTTGCTCATCACAGCTGCTGCTTCAACAAATGGAGGGAGGCAGAGCTGATAAACTTGGTGCAGCTAGGTTTCAAATCTACAAGTGCAGATTTGAAAGATTCATTAGTTGCATGCATTATATAGCCCATAGACCATGTACACTGGAATCCTAAACATAGCTGCCACTGGGAATAATGGCCTTGTTTCCACAGTAGTCTTCTGACACTATCTTATCTATAAGCCTATACCCACTATATTTTTAGGATCACTTCATTTTCTGTGTTTAAGATCTGAGTGATATAACTTAAGTATTTTGTCACAGAATTTTAAATTTGATGGCTAACCTCATATTTTGAGAGTGAAATACAGCTCAAAACGGAACCAGGAACACTTTCAACTTGGTATGGCAGGAAGGGATATAATCTTCAAAACAAGAATTGGATTAAGATGGGTTGCTGTGAAATATTCTGCTGTAAATAGATTTTGATTTTAAATTGAGTCAATCTTTATTTTGTTTGCTTCTCAGAATTTTGAATGAGCTTTGATTTAGAAGGAACAATGCACATCATCTCTGCCAGTTGTACATGGTCAAAGGCAATTTGCCCTTGTTTGTCCAATATAGAACACATATCATACATATACCAACACCTTTACTAAAAAGAGTAGTTGTGTGGCTAAGACATGTATATTAACTTGTGAGGCTGCATACACGTTTTCTAGTTGTAAGGGTCAAAAACCTGTGCATCTGATGCCCTTTTATTGTACCAAGCAGGAGGACAACAAAGTGGTTACAACATCTGCTTTAAACAGAAATCCAAGTTACAGTAAGGATTGCAAGAACTTGGGGAGTGTATTAATAGTAGTTTTTAAATTTGGTGGGAGCTGAATCTGACTGAAATTTGGTTTGTGTAGTTTTTGAAGTGGTTGACCAAGATGTATAAACTAAATTATGAAAATGAGTTCCAAACGCATGGTTTCAATTTGAGGAAATGTGTTTTAACAGATGCTTCTTTTCCTAATTGGATCATAAAATGGAATGAAATTCTTGAAAACAGCTTACTCTGAAGTCCTCTCTCTTGTTCTAGAGTGTTAGCTTATTAACATTGCAGGTACACTGTGGACACACACATTTAGAAAGCTAGGGAATTACAGCTTGGAAATCCTTTTCAGGCCTGGATTTCTCCTGACTATCAGGTCCATTCCCAGGCTGACAAGCTGACTACAGCTTTAGTTAGGGAGGAAGTCCCCCAGGGTGATAATATGGTGAAAAACAGAGTGGAATTCATAATAAAAATTAACACCTGGTGTCTTTCCCATGGAATACATCCTGAGGTATTGTCCCAAGGATGTTTTTCCCAATTGTCCAATGAACTACTGTCCTGTCCTAGCTGCATGTAATGCACTTTAAATATGGGTTCTCCGTACAATAAAGTTAGCCTTTTTTCCCCCAAAAAAGTTCGTGTGTGTTGCTGTCTTTTCTCTCTTTGCAGCACAGTAACCACAGTACACAACTTCTAGTGGCCTTTTGAAATAGAGAATACATAATCTAGGAAATATATCTCTAGATGTACATAATCTGGGCAAAAGCCTTCAGCTGAAATAAAATTCTTCAACAGCAGGTACTCCTTCTGCAGTTGGTGCTGGTGGAAGTGCACCCTCCTCATCAGTGGTGCTTATAGAGGTGCAAGTGGAAATCTCAAGCCTTGGGACAATTTAGCTTGTGGGACTGTATGAAATTGTTGTAAATGTACAGTTTGTGGACTTTGTTTTCTCAGATGAGTGATGTAGAAGCTGGAGGAGCTACAGTTTTTCCAGATTTTGGGGCAGCAATATGGCCCAAGAAGGTAAAGTTTGTTTATATGTTTGGGTTTATTCCTTCTCTCTCCATGCACTGTCTCTCCCTCAGCGCAAAAAGTCAGCTGATGTGGCAAGTGCACTTCATTGCAGCTGTAGTGATCTTGCAGACTCAAGGGCGTCCCTTTGTTGGTAACGTATGAAGTAAACAGTTTCTCTGTACAACTGTTTTTAACAAAGTAAACTTGTGTTCAGTAGAATTCCTCTGTACTCTGAACATAGCTGAGCTAGAACAGGACTAAGAGTTTTTAGTGTCTAGTTGATTGTGACTTGTTAAAGTGCTTCCAGCTGCCTGCAGCTGAATCTATAGGCATCCCCCTGGTTATATTGACTAGGTTCTGACTAATCCAGATCTGATCTCACTTTTCAGGGAACAGCAGTGTTTTGGTACAATCTCCTCAAAAGTGGTGAGGGGGATTATAGAACAAGACATGCAGCTTGTCCAGTACTAGTAGGCTGTAAATGGGGTAAGTAATACTTCTTTAGAAACAAAACCTGAAGGAAGGCTCATGTAGGTAAAGCTGGGGATATATTTACCTCTTAAAAAAGTATTTAATAACCTGGGTGTTGGCATTTCCACTACTGGAGTCATTTGGCCATAATGAAATTCTGTGCTATTCATCTCATGAAGTACTAGCAGGTACATGGTACAGCTATAGCTTTTCTAGTGAGTTTCTGTGTCAACAGCAGTGCAAAGTGTAAGAGTGTCACTGGGTTTGTGTAATGTATCAGCACCAGAATGACTTCAATTATCACTTGGCTAGAATCAGGTCTATTCTTACAAAGATCTATCCATAGTTCTAGCTGCTCAAGGATGAGAGCTCCTTTTAAGGTAAATGGCAGCGTCTGGACATATGGAATTTGTGCTTCCTCTGTTCCCATACGTATATCCCCTAGCCTCTAGGGTATTCCCCTGGAGTGCTAGAGCATGCTGACTGACAGTGATACAAGCCCCAGAATACATTGTTCTGTTAGTGCTGGCTCCAGAATTGTGCATTGAGGAAAATCCTTTCTTCCCCATCCTTTTGCATCTTTATGTGTATTTTCCCTTAGGTAAGTAGAGAAGTATAAGCATGGATCCCCAAACTGAGAGATGTTACCTAAAGTATCCATCTAGTTTGTGATGATACCCACACTGGGTACATGGCGATAACTAATTCCAGTTCCCTGTTTCCACAGTTTCAAACAAATGGTTTCATGAAAGAGGAAATGAATTCTTAAGACCTTGTGGGAGAACAGAGGTTGACTGAATTCCAGCCTGCTGCAGAGCTTTGTTTCTGTCTCCTTTTCTACTGTTGTTTGTTCCAGTTCATTTCTAAGAAATGATCCATCTTTTTCTCCAAGAGTCCTGGCACTTTACTACAAAAGAACAATAAAATACATAATACCTGTGAAAGATGTGTACAATGTCATTTACTTTCTATGTGTTTTGGTTGCAGTTATTTCCACATTTTCCCAGCCTCCCTCCCTACAGTCTTCCTCTGTAGTAGTGGTGCAAACAGTGCTGTGAGCAATTCTGTTTGAGTGCTTGGTGTTGTGCCTTTTGTACCTCAGAAGATTTAGATGTTAAATATTTCTTTGAACCAAAGTTGTTTTTTAAATAAGTTTCGTGTACACATTGATTTTATTGTATTTCTATGGATCACAAGCTTTAAAGCTAAAATAAATGTTCTTTCCATAAAGTGATTCTCTATTTGGAGTCCTTGATTAGTGCATCATTGTTTGGTTTTAGGGAACAGTGGGCCTTTATTTTTTCCTCTGGAGGCCTGTTGCCTTGTTTCCCTTTTCCTGTAGAAAATACATCAGGGTTGGACAGTGTTGTGTCTAAAACTCCAGTACATAAGACAAAATTGTTGCATCTTCTAGTGAAACTGGAAAGGTGTAATGTGTGTATTGAAACTATAATGTGTCCTGGGAGCAGAGAGGCTGCACATACTGTGCCAGTGGCAATTATGGTCTGTTTTACACTTATGAGAAGCCTTTTCCTGTGGTGTTACCTGTTTTTGACACAAGCAGTTACAAATATATGAAGGGTTTCAAGTATAGTGATAGTCTTGGCAATCCTGGATTCTAAAAGAAGACATCTGATGATTAAAGTGTTTTTCCCACAGGAGTATCTGAACTCAGCACCTATGGAAAGCAGTAGTATGTTTTGCAAGCAAATATTAATCTACTTTTGTAGACTGGAAGGAGGGTTTTGTCATGCTCTTCAGACAGGCTGGGAATAATCCTTCCCTGTGATTCTCCTTTGCCCTTTTGCCCTGCTTACATGTGAGTATTGGTCCCAAGCCAACACATGGAGAACTAAATGAAGTCCCATTTCTGAATTATTTACAAAAAAATGAGAGTTAATTGCTGGGGGAAAAAAAAGGCAAAAGTTACGGAGAAACAGGCAAATGTTTCAGAAATAGGGAACTTGATCTTAGTACCGGGCTCTTGTTCCAATATGTGGCTGTGCAGATGAATTGGTTTTGGAGCCACACCCTGGCTGTGTTTGGGCCTGACTTCACGGGACTGTGGATGACTGCAGGTAAACTGAAAGCCAGAACTGGTAATGGTTGTACAACCATAAGCTAGTGCTTAAAGACATGCTTGGGCAATAGTTAATATACCAATGCGTGGAACTGGCTTGAGAAAGTGAAAAAACTTTAATTACATTGAAACATCTACTCGCAGTCAGTGTTGTCATATGACCAAGGCTGGTTCGCTTTGTGCTTCTGCATTGCCCTGCTGTGCAAAGATTGAGTGAAGTAAGGCTTAAAACAGGTGTTAGGCAGGGTTAGAAGCAATTCCCCTGCTGTCCTCTTGGGAGACATGGAATGGGAGTTTACATGTTAAGATATAATAAATGTCATCAATTTATTGTCAATATTTAAGCAATGTAGCTCAGCAATGCATCTTCATGTGCTCTTGTATTTTTATGTGAAGAACTGATGAATGTTGAGGGTTATTGCTTCATTTAGATGCAGCATGCACTTGTACTCGCTGAATTTTTAATTTTTCTGTTAAACACACACAACTGATTGAAGAAAAAGATCTTGCAATTGTCCAGGTGTAGATTTGCTGAGCTCAAGTTGTTAATAATACTGAAATGAGAATCTAGACTTGTGACTAAATTTTGTGTGAATACTTAGTGCAGGTAGCTATAGAAATGGCAATATTTTTTTCCAAAAGCAATATCGCTGTGAAGACCCAGCACAGCAGAGTTCAATAGATGCTCTCTAATCCCCTAGGGCCCTCCTTTGCTTGCTATGAATTTTGTGGTTTTGCTGTCTGGCTGTTCAGAATATCTCATTGTTGACCTCCAGTTTTCTTAGTAAAATGTTTCAGCATAACATAAACTTGGGAAATAAGGAGGTTTGCTTTATAACAAAGTATTCAACATATGACGCTCTTGCAGATGTGAAGTTACAATGAGCCAAAGTCACAGTCTCTGGTTGGAACACTGTGTGTTTCAGGGGAGGGAAGAGGAACCTACTTGGACTTTGTCAATGTGGTATGTTGACAGAAGAAGTTCACATCAGGATTCGGGCCAAAAACTGCACATCCCACTTCTGAAATAGCACAGTTGGCTGGGAAATACTATTGTTAACTGTGCATTAGCATACTGAACTTGTAAAGATAATTTTACTTGTTTTCTCTGGGAAAAATCCTATTCTGTCATCTCAGTTGTCTTTGACATTGCTTTGACCTAAAGTAGGAGGTGATGAGTGTGGATGCAGAACTGCTTGAATGGCAAGCTGCTCTTGGTGCTGTCTGCAGGATTTGCATACTGCAGATCTGATCTGAAGAGTAATAGATAATAAATACAATAATTTGAGAGAAAAGAGCATATATGGCTTGTGAGATTCAGTATCTTCCCAAGCATATTTGTATAGTCTGTCGCATTATATTCCCTATTCTATCTCCTATAATTGTAGAAGATGAACAGCATATGGCAGCCTAAATTTAAACCTATGGAGTAGTTCTTAGACCTAAAACAAAGAAGTTTCAAATGCTCTAGCAAATCAGCCTTTCTGCATATAGGCACAGGGAGTTCCTGCCGGTA